GCTGCATCCAGGAAAACACCACTTCATTTATACATTGAATATTTTATAAGTAAACAGGACTGCAGCAAAAAATGCCTGGTTCTCAAAGCAGGAGATACCTCCTAAAGAAACGACCTGTAAAAACTGTAATGTTGCCTAAGCACAAAGAAAAAACCTCACCCCCCCACCTCACAGCTGCATGTGAAGGTAGTCCAAGGTTACGCTGTTGGAGGTGGCTGAGAGGACATAATTAATTTATTGCCATCCTCTGTATGGCAGTTGACCAAGCTCTGTGCCATTTTGTGGGAGTTTGTTGTGCCCTTAGATCAGTGGCAGAATGCTATTTCACCAATTTACAGACACTAATCATGCACTGTGTTGCGTTAGAGTGTGTTGCTGATAATACTCAGAGGCTCTCCTGGCCCCGCAGCAAATAAATTACTGTGTGCAAGTCCAGATGCAGCGATTCCTCGGGCTGTCAGTCCTGTATATTCTCCAGGCTTAATATTAACACTGAGTAAACGCTGACAGTAGGGCCAGGTGCAAATAAAAGTATCTTTATAGAAAAACTCTGGTCATCTTTCAAATGCTCCCAACCATGCACAGGAGTCACAGCAGTGATAAAATTGGTCCAGGACGTTGATTCCTTCTTCTGCTTTTGTGTTTACTCTTGTCATCTGAACTGCGCCGCGTGCCGTCTCAGAGACAAAATAAATCTCTGTGTCTCCCACGCAGCTGTAATTGAACGGTCACGGAGGCTGAGCTACCCTCTCCTCTCCGTAAACTCGCTGAGATTATTTGAAGCGTCCGCTTTTCCCAGGTGCTGCCCTGCTCCCTGGGAAGGAATTACCATTAACAAACAGCCTTCTGCTCTGCAGAAGAGACACATTTGATTAGAGATAGAATTTCCCACAAGAAGACCGGGATGAAGCCTGGAGAAAGGGAGTATGCCCGGAGTAAAATGAGATGAATTTGTATTTCTGTCGCGTGAATTCCTCTCCGTAAGGATTTCTCATTTCCCTCGTTTCCTGCAAAAATCCTCCTATTCTGTGCCTGTCCCAATTAGCGTGTGTCCACCTGCTCTGCTAAAAACCAGCTGCCCAGGCGGATAGTTAATGCTGGGAACTGGATAGTGGCTTCCCATCGTTCAGCTCCTGTCAGTGATTCCCCTGCTGCAGTAATAGCTGTGAAAATTGCAATTAAACACGAGTGTTTTTTCTCCTCAGGGACCTTCCACTTGTACCCTCCCAGTCACTCGTTGCCACATTTTTTCCCTTAGCTCTGTGTTTGGGAGAAATGCTGGCACCCAGTTGTTATTGCTGGGAGGACAAGTACCCGAAATGCGGGATGCCGGAGCACATCCCAGGAAGGGCAGGAGGGAAACGGGGCCTCTGGTCCACTGGGGTCTCTCCTACCTCACTGCGGCGATGGGCCCGTCACATTTCTCCTACGGGGCCACATCCTTCTCTTCTCATTAGCAGGGCAGGAGGGAGGGACTCCTGTCTAGACACTTCTCCCCCCCCCGATTGTGTATTTTTCCTTTGCTGCATCTTGTTCAAAATCTGTTCCTATTGTGGATGTTTGGGTTAAACCAGGTGGCTGCTCAGGCGGCTTTCCGCCCCAAAAGTTTCACAGCTACTTCATACAAAGAGCACTGAGGGGTTTATGGCTGCCAGGCATCCCTCCCGGCTGAACGCACGGGGCTGGCCAGGGATCAAAATGAATCCTCAGATTTTGCAGGAGGCTGAAAAAAGGATATGTCACATTAAGGTGGATGTGGACATCTACAGAAAATCTAAATATATTTACAAAAATTAAATCTAGAAATGTGCCTGCCAGGTATCTCTCATTTTTGTTACACCTCGCTCCTGAACACCTTTTACTTTTCCTACTGGGACGTGTCGTGGCAGAAGGGTGCTGACTTTGTGTGATTGCAGCCGTTTCTGCAGCAACTGATTTTGATGTTGTTTTAATAAATGTGACAGTTTCGGTGTTGATGCTGGCATGCTTTTGCCAATTAGCTCCAGGATGAATGAGTTAATCGGTGTTTGGGCTGGATGAGATCCTACTTTCATTTTTGGTTAGATGCTTAGTACAAAAAAAGCAAAGAAACCTATTAGTCAGAATTGTACATAACAGCTCAGATTATATCTGCGAAAGTCAAAACCCACCAAGTGATACCTCTTCTATTGATTTAATTGAAGTAATTCGGAAAAGTTTGTGTATTCTCTAATGTGTGTTAATGGTTAAATAGATATGGATGATGCTGATCTTTTTCTCTTATTTTCTATGATACTTGCAAATGCTATTACTACATAGCTTTATTTTTCTGATTTTATATAGGAAGAGCCCAATATTCAAGCTAGATTTCATTATGAGCTGCTCTTATTTACTCGTAAGAAAGGTACGTAGAGGCAAGGTGGCAGGATGACAGTATAATGAAAAGTTAAAAGGAAAGCAATTTGGATGAAAAATTATTACATGAGCAGGTTCATCTGCACTACAATGTTGGGGTTTCACATAAAGAAAAATCAAACAGTCCTTTCTAAAGTGCCTACGGTCCTACATTTTTTGGTCTTAACCATAAGCCCTGGTAGGTTTTAAAGGTGAGGTTTACAACTGCAAATTGGGACACTCGTCTGGACAACACGGGAGGGTGGCTGCAAAGCATTAACCCCCCATCTCACATCAAAGTCCCCATCTACCTCAGCAAGACGATTGGTTCGAGGGTATGGCTTTTCGTAAGCACCCCAGATTCAGAGCACCCATTACCTTCAGCAGCTAGTCCCTTCAGGAAGCTTTATAGGATTAGCGGCAGCAATGTTATTTACCAATACAAAAAGATAACAGCTTTAGAAGTCAGTGTTCAACTGGGCGTTTCTGCTGACATGATCTTTGTACAACAGCTTATGTCACCGCATTCAGGGTTCAGCTGACATTTGTGGCGTTCTGGATGAAGACCTGCCCTAAAAATGCAGCGCACTGTAAAAATGCACCCTCTTTCCTATGCCAGAGTAAAACTCTGGCCAGCCCAAGGTAAAACATACAATTGTCCCAGGGAACTTAAAGTTGTCTTTCAGGCTTTCTGAAGACCCGCCGACAGCATTTTCTGTGCTTGCACAAGCGCTGCTGGGAAGAGACGTGCAAGATGCCGGGCTCCAGCTCTTTGGGGTCCTGTCCGCTCCCGCTGGCTGGGAGTCGAGAAGCTGGCACTCGCGAGGTGCACCGGGACCTCGGGGGACAGAGCCCCGTGTTCGCTGCAAGCAGGACATCAGCCTGCAAAGTCTTACTGGTCTTACTGGTCAGCAAAAGGAACTGTTTCTTGTCCGTGAGGTCAATGCAAACACCATTTCGCACCCCTACAATAAATACTTTCCTGGAGCACCTGCAGCCTGTGCTGTACGGAGAAGGTAGGAGTAAGGGATGGTGGGATGGTGACAAAGGGAAGGAAAGGAGTCGCTCATTTGTAGCTATGTAATTATTATTTTTAAATAAATAAAGCTTTTGAAAATGTGATTAAGCAAACAAGGGAATAAAGTAAAAATCTGAATTGCTAATTAAAAAAAATGCAATGTGCTTGTAATGATATCATGTTGAGAGATAAACTAATTCAGTCCTAGCAGTTTTCTTTTAATAATTTTGATGCTCAGTGTAATAACCACAGCTAAGGAAAAAAAATTAAGAAAAAAAGTCCACCCATTTTAATCAGCCCAGACTATTGCGCCTTGGGATGCATTTCAATCGCCCCCATGCGTAAGACGCCCAAGGCAATTCTCCTGCTTAATAGGCATTTTCCACAGCACACTGTGCAATGATAATGCTAATTATCACAAAGATAGATTTAAAACCCTCCGTCTAGGGCACCGCGCCTTGAAATCAGGCAGCATTCATCATCAGCATCAACCCTCGCCGCTCAGGGTTGCTAATGACTCGTGAAGCTCTCCCCTGCTGCCGACAGCGCTCCGGTGCTCACCTGATGGTAAATGGCCTCCCAGTTCTCCCGCAGCGCTCCCCAGCTGCCCACGCTGGCCACTTTCTTGTCCAGGTAGACTCTGATGTGCTCCTCCAGCTCCTGGTTGACCTGCTCGAGAGCTCGCACCTTCTCGATGTACTCCACCAAGCAGGCGTTCAGGCTTTCGTAGGAGAGACCCCTGCCCTTCTCCAGCCCCGGGGCCAGGGGCACGGCAGCAGCGGAGCTGCGCAGACCCTGGAGGAAGACGCTGCTGATGCCCAGGGCTCTGCGGGACACCCGGGTGCCCAAACTGCTCACGCCGCCGGTGGGGACGGTGCCCACGTAGACGCCGGGGGGTCTCGACAGGCTCACTCCGCCCCCGGTGCTCACCCGGC